TTTTTTTTTTTTGTTAGGGGGGGACCCTACCCCCACTTTGGTTTGGGGGAACAAGCAAGGACGCTGGCCCATTTTTTTTCCTTGGGGTGGAAGATTCGTTTTCATGTTTTTCCCGGTCGTGGCAATTTTTCCAAATTTCCAAATGGGAGGTCAATGGTAATGGTCTTCAGGACTAACGACTACGGCATGCACGACTATGAGTACCCCCCCCCCCCCCCCACCCCCGGGATAGATGGTGGGCACAAGAGGCCCTAGAGGACGGGGATAAGATGTGCAAGAAATTTTAATGTATTTTAGTTTGTGGCAGAAACGTAAAGAGCTCCCAAATGTTGGTGGTGTCTCTAGTAGGGGTAGGAACGGTGCTCCGTCTCGAAAGGGACGCGTGGTCAATGGTCAAATGACTACGGCAAGCGACAAATGAGTACACCCCCCCACCCCCGTCCTTTAGACCCCATTGGCAAATACTCGTACTTCCGAATCCAAGATTCCAAAAATTGAGTGGGCAGCACTCTCTGTGTTCGCACAGGTACATAGAGGTGCAATAGCCAGGTAGTTCTCCGCCCCCCACGATGCCGATGGCGTCTGAAAGTGCACGTCAGTCAAGATGAAAAGGTCTTGTCTTGAGCCGGTACCGGAACGCTACGTATCATAGTAGTGGTACGCTCCCTCAATAAAAACGATTGCCTGCTGAAACCCCAGCTTGAAGGAGCCACGCAGGTTGGACTGCATTGACCCCCCCTCTCCCCGCCCCCCGTCGGTTCCTTGTACGCTCGCTGTAGGACTTGTGTTCAACCCTGCGACTCCTCTTGACCACGCCAAGTACGTACTGGACAAGGTCGACATCATCCTACTCATGTCTGTCAACCCTGGCTTTGGTGGGCAGAGCTTCATCCCCAGCACCCTCGACAAGCTGAGGGAGGCACGCAAGATGATCGACGAGTCCGGCTACGACATCCGCCTTGAGGTGCGTTTACCACTGAGCACAACCAAAATGGTGGCAACACTGCGTGGGGTGTGCAGCATGTGGTGGGCTCGCGGTAAGGCAACCGCCGTGGCGTTGTCGCAGCAGCACTTTTATGTTGTTCATGATTTCCTTTACCCGGCACAGAGCAGATTGTGGAAGACGAATCCATGGGCCAACTCTGCATGGTAGGCGTCGGCACAGCAGTTAGTGTACGGCGTACACCAGAATGCACATTCGGGTTTTGCACGCGATGGGTTTTGCAGCAACGCCATCGCACCTGCTGGTATCCGACCTCATTCTTGATTTTGGGGGGTGCGGAACGATGCCATCTGCCCCACATGTTCGGTGCAATGAAGAGTTGCGCCCCACCCGTCCGTGGTCTGTTTTTGAAGAACGCCGATCGACTGCGCGGCGCCATTTCGGCGTTAGGCCAGCCAAACGGTGTCGAGTCAGTTCGATGTTGGAGCCACGATCATAAGCGACAGGGTCGGAGCCGAGTTGGATCCGAATGCGGCAAATATCGGCCCAGCTTTGGGCGAAAATACCTTGGAGGCCGATTGGGTGTCGGATTCGTTGCACCCCAGTGGTGCATGCAGTTTAACCGGTTGCGGCGTGTGTTTCGAGATGAATCGACACTTTGCATGGACGGTGTTGCGTGCAGTTGGCGTGCCGGTTTCGTGTTGGCCCACCGCCTTGGGGGCGAAGGACGGGGGGTTGGGTTGTCGTTTTTCTGTTTGAAGTTGATACTTGACCACTCCTCCCGTTATAGAGTGTGGGAGCATCGTTCACATCTTTATGGAAAACCACGAACACGCGAGGAGGGGGAGGAGGTACCGATTGTTTTGTTTTCGCCTACCGAACAGGCATGACGTGAATCGCGAAGCACCATGAGGTGTTCGTGAGCTCTTTGACAGCATCGTGCTGCTGTCGGGCATGGGGTTTACTCGCAATGCTTCGACAGCAGACCGTGGCTTTGCTGTGGCTGGGGTTGTCTTTGACTTTTGGATTGCCTGACACTTGCTTCCTCGCGCCTCGTGTGGACATATCGTTACAGGTGGACGGTGGTTGCGGTGTAGCCAACATCAAGGAGATCGCGGAGGCGGGCGCGGACATGTTCGTCGCGGGGTCGGCTATCTTCAACAACCCCAGGACGGAGGAAAACTACAAGGAGACTATCGACAAGATGCGCTCCGAGCTCGCCGACGCGACCATCGCGTAGAGGGCAACATTAAGCCGCGACTGAATGACGGCGTGAGTGCAATACATGTAGAGCAGACGACGTGGGTCGATGACAAATACGAATGCTTTCAAGTCAGTTGGTCGGAGGAAGCGGGGCAGGTAGTAGAAGCAAAGCCGAGAGATCCTACTAGCGTCGGAAACGTTGCTTGGAGTATGCATGGGCATACGCCAGCCGCAAGCTTTTCAAGCAACGGTGAAACTTTTAGCTTCCAGATGCTACAATCAATCGTCCTAACATTTACATACCTTGCCATTGCTTTGATGATATCCGTTCAAGACAAGGGCTTCGCTGACCTACTGCCCCTGTTCGGTCTTGATTTCACGCTCCACCAGTGTGCTCCCAAAAGAATTCGGGAAGAAGATGGCGGCGCGACATGCAGCAGAAAACATCCGGGGGGGGGGCGGTCAACTCCTTGGTAGAGAGAGCACCGCCGTAGATTGCGCAATATTGATTTGTATCGATAGAGTTGCTGGGTTTCGGCGAAGAATTTTTGTTTATTCGTTGGGAGGGGGTCGGCATCCAAAGGGTATCCGTTTTGATAAGAGCGGGCCTGTCTCTGTCTCGCACGAGTTTTAAGAGGATACACATAACGTTGCAGGCAGACTGCCTGCTCGAGACAATCCGTAAGGGGATACGTTTGAGGTCTGGGGGGATTTGTTGTCACACTCTTGGAGACGAAATTGCGACGAGTTTTCAAAATGTATACATACCATCACAAACGGGCGAGTGTCCGCAAGGGGTTGTTGTTGAAGTATCTGGGTTTTTTGCCCTTTTCCTCCAGTGATGCCAGCCGGAAACTAGAAGAGGTTTTAGTGAAAATAGACGTCGCATCACAGAAGGGCGCGGCGGAACCAGTAACGGGGAAGTCTCGCGACTTTCTTTGCACCCTCAAGACTCGACGATGCCAGCCGGAATAAAGCGCGGAGTACATGCAACCCTTCGAGGAGAGATGGTTTGCGAAAGTATGCCTGGTCAACCGCACAACTTCCGGGAGAAGTGTGGTACAACGTTAACGTTTCTATCCTCTGGTGCGGTCTTCGTCTACGGTATTTAGTTTCTATTTTTGTCTACAAGATGCGTATGCGTGCGTGCCAGTTTCTCATCGCGTCCTCTCTCTTTACTAATAAAACTCTTACATAGTTGTTGAAAGGTTTTCGTTGGGACCGGCCGCCACATACGCGTCTGGTGGTCGCCCCTAGTGTCCCACACTCGTCGTGGATATGGTTGCGTAGATGACAGAACGCAGTATGGATCGTGCAACCTGTTCCATGAGAAAGCAAACGAGCTTCCTGCAGGGATTCGGACGTACTTGTGGACTTTTGTTCGCGAACTCTATTATTACACCGCACGGCAACCACTCTCGGCAATATGCATGCGTATTCCAGCTCCAGGACCTTCAACCGGCCACAGCAGCCAGGGTGGTCTGTTCCAAAAGATTTGAAGGTAAACGGTAAACTTGCTGCGATGCCGAAGCACGTCGGGCATCATCCCTGCGCTAGTTTGTGTTGAGACTGCCCCACGTGAGGAGGAGGAGCAAGTCTTGTTGGTGCCCCCCCGTGCGCGTGCATTCCCCACTCCCCGACTCCCCGACGGTAATATAACAACTACTGCGACTACATAATACCTGAACACACAATCGACCCCTTCCGCTCTTCTTGCGTACTACCAAAGGCAGCATAGCAATTCGATACACAAGGAAGGGTACACACATGCGCGCGACTTCTATAGACCCGTATGGATCTCCATCAACGGTAAGTAATTGTTACATCGATTGCTGCAGCATTGGTGTGTATACTACTAGTAGTGAATGACCCGAACCCCAACAAAAGAAAAACGAACAAAAGGCGAGCCCAACTTTAGCAACATGTGCACTCAGTGTGGACGCATCCCATTTGGAAGGGGGACTCAAATTAAATGTGCAGGATGTAATATGATGCAGGCGTGGTTCATTGCCGTGCGAGCGCAGGGTAAAAGTGAGGCCGGGTGGTTTTTCGTAAGGATCCATTTGAGATCATCATGCGACCGACATTCGACACCAGGAGTGCGGCCATGTTTCTCCGTGTTATTGTTCGTTTTTTTTTTTTTGTCGCCTTGAGCTTTTCAATTTTTTTTATTTTCGAAATGACACCAACGAATCCACCTCTGTCTGAGAAAAAGAGTCTCCCCCGCCCTCCCCCCTCGCTTCTTGTCTCTTGTTGTCTACGATCATTTACACCGACCCAGGGTGCGGGAGGGTTAGAGCCTCGGGTGGTGTATAGCCTGACGGTGGGGATGGCGGCTTAGCCTTGAAACCGGGCCTATTCTCGTCTATCCTGAATCCGCAGAAAAAGAAAGGCAGCTGTTGGCCTGTCTGTGTGGTCTACAGGGAGAGCGCGAGAGGGGGAAAAGAGAGAGAGAGAGAGAGAGAGAAAGAGAGAGAGAGAGAGAGAAGAAGGAACTCCGAGGGAGAGAGAGACCGAGAGAAAATAAATACACGCAAAGAAAGACTAGAGAGAGAGAGAGAGAGAGAGAGGCGCTTAGCTCGGCGAAACGAGGATGGCCGAAACCATGTGGGAATGGGATGGGCCGGAGTCGGAGCGACTCAGACCAAGGGCGAGAAATAACAGCGACGAGGACGATGATGGCGAAAGAGGTGTGAGGGACGAATTTGTTGCTTGTGTCGCGTACCACATCTATCCGACGCTGTTGGCCATCTGGCCGTGTCTCTTCATCTCGCGCTACAGCACTAGGCCCGCCGCGCTTGTCTGTCTTGTTTGAGTTATTTCCTGTCTCAAAACATGCGTATGCATCGTAGGCGGGTGGTGTGCCGTGCCTGTGGTGATGAGACAGAGCCCTCTCGCGCACTTGGTGAAGGACAACTAAACTAACCCACACGCACCGACCGGGCTTGTCGCTTTTCTGATGGCGGTTTTGCATCCAAATCTGCTGCAGACACCTCCCTCCCTCCCTCCCTCCCTCTGTTGGGGGACAGGCCTCTGTTGCCCTGTCTTCACCAGCGCTGTTTGTGTGCGTGTGTGCTTATGCGGCTGGCGTGCTCTTGGCTCGGTGTGCACGAAGATCGCCGCATGCTGTCGCGATCATGGACTATCTGTCGCTGATTGTTTTGGCGGTCGTGTGTGATAGTCGGCGCTCTCTTTTTTTGTTTGGTCTTGCATGATTTCATTCTTCCTTGATTTTTTTCGTCCGCTACAAATTCGTAGGCATGCCGCTTCCGCCGATGTCACCGCTGTGGAGAGAGCACGGTAAAGGCCAAGGCGGGGGAGGGATTCACATCGTGGTCTGCTGCTGTAACGAAACGCAGGAGGAGCTGAAGGTGAGAGGGCGGCAACACGACGCAAGCCCCGGAGATGTGAACGCAAATCTTTGCTCTCTCAACGCGAACCAACAGCAGAAATGGTTGGTTGCTTCAATCATTTTTTGTTTTGTTTTTGTGACACCGAGATATACGATACAAACAAGACCGACGCACGCCAGCAGGAAGAATCCTTTGCCTCGTGGGTTTACCGCCCCCCCTTCAGACTTGGGGGATTGTGAGTGTTCTATGTAGTGATGATCGAGGTGCCTCTTGCGCCGTTGCATGCTCCTGCATCATGTCCCTCCGTATGATCGTCTTTGTCCTCTCTGGAAAATAACCCTGCTGTTTTGGCAACAACGTGTCCCCATTTTTTTCATACGCCGCTCTTTTTTTAAACGTTGGGCTTGGTGACTTGCTTGGTCCAACGGAAGGTTATGCTCTCCACGTTTCGGACTGACGCTACAGCCTCGTGCCCGGTACGAATCAGCTTCGTACTGGAACCTAGGGGTGCTGCCGAAGCATCTAGTGAGACCGACGAGGTACGATGAATGGAGGCTTGCGTAAGACGCGTTTCTTTCCGGCTCGGTAAATATTGTGCTCTCGGAGAAACAGCGGAAAGCTGCCCTCTCGGTTGTGTTACCAACACATTTCCCGAATAAGAATAGGTGGGAGTACAAGTAGAGGAAGTAGATACGTCGAAACGTCGTTTTCGCGGTTTTTACTTCCAAGTGTTCTTGTTTTTGTTTTTCTGCATGCAAAGTCCATGGTGTCGTACGCGCCCGTGAGGTGTGTATATATGCAGTATTGCCACATGCGTAGATGGCAACATTTTGATGCGCCAAACTAAATGATCCCTGGCGCCATCGGCCACCCTCTAACAACGCGATCAAATTCATCTCATTCCTAATCATACACTTACATGACGGTCGCCCAGTGGTCTAGTTGGTATCGTCGAAACCTGCTAGAGGTCAGGTCGGGGGTTCAAATCCCGGCGTAAGAGAGCTTTTCTTGCGAAGTGAGTTTTTCTCTCGCTTCCGCTCCTGGCCTGTGGATAGCGCTATCATAGTTCGTGTGTACACAGAGGGCAGAGAGTGCTGAACTCTTCTCGCATTGAAAATCGAAGGCAAAGTACCGCAGGAGGGGACGGTAGAGAGGGGGCTCTTCTGTGTGATAAACGGCATTTTTAGTGCTGTGAGCGCTGATTTGAAGTGAAGAAAAAAAAAAATGCTTGTCAATCTCCGATCCGGAAGAACATGTATTATGACGATCCCTCCCTCCCGAAACTTTTAGAAAATGTGAAATGTTCGCGCAGCATTTGCACTGCTGCTGCTGTGCCGGACCGGGTCGAGTAAGATTGAGTGACGCCTGCTGGATACCGGGCGTGGGTCGTCTACTCGTTGCTTTCAGCGAAAAATGGGTGATACCAGCCCTCAACCGGCATTAAAAACTTCCATGCATACAACTTTATGTGGTATCTACAATGTACTCAAGCATACGCACTACCTTTGGCAGGCAGAAACTTATGCCTTGCGAAATGAAACCATGTGCAGGGTCGGCCATAATTTTTTTCGGAAGCCAAGCTATGCACGCGGCCTAAATGCACATGCGCAAACCATTCGGCCTTTGTGTCCTCTTGCATTGCACAACGGCAATGAACGCCTCGGCGGGGTCGGTGGGAATCGTTAAATTTTGTTGTTATGAAATTCGATTGGACACTTCAGAGAGGCCGTTGTGGGTTGCGAAACCTGTCTTGTGATTTTTCAAGAGTTTCCCTCGAGAGCAGAGATGTCGCGCGTCTTCTTCAAGGATCACATTTTTTTATCCATTTCGACCGGACGGACAAATTTGAATTTTAGTCGTTCGTCGCTCAAAGTTTGAATGCATATTGGACGTGAAATGTTATTTCTTCGTTGTGCACAGGAGGGGCGTGGGTGTTTTGTTGCAACCGGCGTTGGTACACCTTCGGTTGAGTTCATTGTGGAGTGAGTGCCCTTGGACACCCAAGTGTTCGTTTCTTGCCGGCGGCGATCTAGAACTGCTTATAAATAGACTACATGTACCGACAGGCGAGCGATTCAGAAACGTCTGGACGCGGCTCCAAGAAGTGGGCATGTTTCCCTACACAAGTATCGGAAATTATGTGTCGATACTGTTGGCCTTGCCTATCATTTAGGCATTTAGGCTTTCGCCGACCCTTACGCGTGCTTGTGCGATCATTCTGGTGCAAGCACCGCTCCGCCCCGTCCCACCCCACCCCACCCATCGTTTTTTTTTGTTGTTTTTGCGCGCCCTCTACTGCTGTTTGCGTCCGCGTGTGCTGGTGTTGGTTTGTCATCACAACCTCATCCTCTCTTGTATGGCACTATAGGTGCTAAAGCGGCTTCTACGAGTGACTGATGAGAGCGCGACCGAGGTTTCCGGGTGCATCCACCACTCCGGCACGCTAGACAAGACTCTCATCCCCTTTGACCTCTACGTCAAGGTGAACGCCAATGGGTGCAGTTGCTGTTATAGATAGGATCAGTGCCTTGGGGGGGCGTGTGAATACATGGTGGGCGCGCGACCGGCCGGCACCGGGGTCAATTCCATTGTATTGCGATGGTTCGCGGACGCAACCTCTGCTTTGGTTGCCCTCTTCTGTGGAACTCCATGGAGGCGGCAAATCCTCATCCTCGCGCTGTGTCGTTGTTTTCAAAAAGAAATTATGCACAGGGCGATTGTATGTCTCTTGTGCAGGTGTTGCTGGTCGTCAACTGTCACCGGGCAGTGGACGCCTTCTCCACGAGAACCTTGCCAAAACTTGCCGCAATACAACCACCCGCGCCTGTTTGCCCTACTGTACCCGATCGCCACTGCCGTGGAACGCGCACACGACAGGGCCCCTCGCTTCCAGTCGGAAAGCGAAACAGTCTGGTCACATTCTTCAACGACATCCTTCCTGTCAAGATGTCTAGGGGCGAGGTGAGTCAGTGCAGTGATGCCTCTGTAAGGTGCATTGGTTGTTCTCATCACGTGCATGTGGGTCGCTTCTTCCCGTGTTTTCTTCTTGCTCGCGGGGCAGGCCGCACGTTCTCTTATCCTTGCTCCGCACATCGTTGTGTTTGCCGCCTTCAATTCTCCGTTCGCATGTTTCATGTTGGAACCTCAGGCTGTGGAGCCCGATGTGGTGTATCTTCTAGACGCCGACAGTGGCCATCCGGTGAGAGCCACAGACGTAGAATCGGCGACTTCCTCTTTTGTGCTACATATACGGGCTTTGATGTTTGTGCCCTCTGCGCGAACGGAGTCACGCTCTGTCATGGACAACTTTACGAGACACAACTTTGGTCGTGTTGGATGCCTCTTTTGATCCAGTCCCGATGGCTGGGAGAGGGGCATGCGCTCCGAAATGGAAGTGGACCAAGGTTCAGGGTGTTGGCACCGAGTGAGAAGGGAGAAGCCTCTACTGCGCGCAGTTGACGTTCTGTTGGCTTCCGAAAGTCTTGAGTGAGTAAAAACGCCTCCACGGCGGCGCTTCTTTTGGTGGTAAGAGTTTTCACGACTCTTCTCCCCTCCGCAATCGAAACCTCTCTCTGATTCTGGATCTTGCCGACGGTTGTGCGGTCATTGTTCATGTTGCCGCAGGTCAACGGTCTCGAGGACTTGGAATCAATGTGGCGGTTGCTGATGGCGGAGGAGGAGGTGGCGTGTGTCACGTGCCCGGTTAGACCAGTCCACCCCATGGAGTCCTTCCTCGCCGCGTCTCAGTCCCTAGAATGTGAGAAGCAAAGAAAGGGTCCCAAGAGTTCACTTTACTCTAGGTCAATCAACCCGTGGCACACAGCATGTCGTTGAAACAGGTCGTGGATTGTCGAGATGGTTGTAGATGGACGGTCGGCCACCTAACGCTTGAGTGGCTCGATGGGGGTCTTCGGTGCCTTCCCGGGCGACCACCTCTGCTTTGTCTCTCGCGTTGGCACGATGGCTTTGCTTTGCGGTGAAATCAACCCAGGTCCACTGCTGTGTCCCACCCGCTGGTGTGCTTGCTTTTCACCTTGCGGTAGTTGCCTTGTGGGACAACGTGGGAGAGTCCCACTTCGGCGTCCAGACAACGTGCAGGGGCGCGCAGTGCATGTTCAAGTACCGCTGCTTGGTGGAAGACGGGCGGTTGGCCCAGCCTCCCGTAGGGGAGGGGGCGATGCCTCCTCTCCTCAACTCTTTTTCCAAGACAGCGGCTGGGCTACCTGCACTCATGTGAGTCTTTTGATCCCACGGTGTAGTGCGCGGGTGGGGGGGGGGGGGGGGGGGGGGGCCGGCCCCCCGGTTTTCCCCAAAAAAGTTTTGGGGGTTGGCCCGGTGGTTGGCCTTTGGGGTCCGATTCCGAACCCCCCTAAAAAGTTTTCTTGGGACCCCCAAAACCCGCCAGGGCCGCCCTGAAATCCCCCAATCCCCGGTTCCCCTCCCCCCCCCATGGGGGTGCCGCCGGCCAATCCGAATGGTCCCCCCCCGGGCCCCAAACTACCCCACCCCAAGCCCCCCCCCGGAACCCCGCAACCTGGTGGAATCCCGCCCCAAAGAAGGGTTGGTGGGGGCGGTGCCTCCCCCCGGCTTCCACCTGGCGGCCTGTGGCACCGCCGAAGGAAATACAAGGCTGCCCCTGCCCCTGGAAAAAAATTTTATGCCCC